TGTAGTGCATGTTGCGTTACTTGTATTTATGATGTTTCTTTGTTCTTGAGGTTGTATTTGTGAAGTTGCTTGGGTTTTAGGTGGAGATATTTTAGTATGTTGTGAGCCTGTAGTTCTGTTAAGGTTTTTGCGTTGCGGTTGAATACGAGTGGGTTGTGAAAATGTGGTGTGTTTCTGTGAAGAAGGAGTTATGTGTTTTTTAACTGTGCTAGGGCGTGTAATTTTATTGGGTGGATCTGTCTTTGTAGTGCATGTTGCGTTAGTTGTATTTATGGTGTTTCTTTGTTCTTGAGGTTGTATTTGAGAGGTTGCTTGGGTTTTTGCTGGAGATATTTTAGCATGTTGTGAGCCTGTAGTTCTGTTAAGGTTTTTGCGTTTCGGTTGAATACGAGTGGGTTGTGAAAATGTGGTGTGTTTCTGTGAAGAAGGAGTTTTGTGTTTTTTTAAATGTGCTAGGGCGTGTAACTTTATTGGATGGACCTGTCTTTGTAGTGCATGTTGCGTTACTTGTATTTATGGTGTTTCTTTGTTCTTGAAGTTGTATTTCTGTTGTTGCATGGGTTATTGGTGGAGACATTACAGTATTTTGTGAGCCTGTAGTGCTGTTAAGGTTGTTGCGTTTGGGTTGAGTACGAGTGGGTTGTGTTTGTGATAACGTGGTGTGTTTCTGAGAAGAAAGAGTATTGTGTTTTTCAGCTGTGCTAGGTCGTGTGGGTGAGGGCGTCTTTGTAGTGCGTGTTGCGTTACTTGTATTTATTGCGTTTGTTTGTTCAGGAAGTTGTGTTTGTGTGATTGGTTGAGTTAAGTTTGGAAATATTACAGTATGTTGTGTGTCATGTTGTGAGTCTAAAGTGCTGTTTAGGCTTTTACGTTTGGGTTGAATACTAATGGGTGGTGATAATGTGGTTTGCTTCAGAGGTGAATCTCTGATTGTATATGTTGTATCATTTGTTGTACTTGTTTGTTCGGTAAGTTGTATTTGTGTGTTTGTTTGGGTTAGAGGTGGAGATATTACAGTATGTTGTGTACCGTGTTGTGAGGGAGTACTGTTGTTTACATGTATACGTTGTGGATCATTTGTGTATGTAGTATCTTGTGTTATGTTTAGAAATTTACGAACAATATGGCATGTGTTGATAATGACTGCTTTTTGTAAATGTTTGTATGTGTTTTTGTCTAAACCTAATAGTTGTAAATTGTGGTGTATTGTCTTTGGTATAACTCCAGTGGCACTAAGAATAATGGGAACTATAACAGTAGATTTCATTCTCCATTGCGTCTTAAGCTCGATAGCTATATCGGTGTATTTGCGGTGTTTTTCTGCATGTGTTTTAGTTAAGTTGTTAGTGTTTGGGATGGCAATGTCTATAATACAAATGGATTTTTGTGTTTTATCTATAAGTGTAATGTCTGGTCTATTATTGTGGATAGTTTTGTCTGTGAGTAGTGTCCTGTCCCAATATAATTTGTGTGTGTTGTTTTCAAGTATGATCTGTGGCGTGTATTTGTAGTATGGTGTCGTATCTGTTATGAGATTGTGTTTAAGTGCTAATTTTTGATGTATGATTTTAGCTACCTGATCGTGTCGATGTTTGTATTCAGTTTGTGCAAGTCGTGTGCATGCCGATATTATATGTTGGATTGTTTCTGATGTTTGTGAACAAAGTCGACAAGAATCATTTGTCACTGTTTTATCTTTATGTATGTGTTTTTTATAGTTGCGTGTGTTAATGACCTGGTCTTGTATTGCTAACATGAAACCCTCAGTCTCCGGAAAGACATCACATTCAGACAACCAACTGTGCGTTGCTATAGGGTCAACACAATCCTGGCCAACCTCTTGTGGAAATCGTCCATGTAAAGGCTTTTGGTTCCATGTCTGTATGTTATTTGTGATGTATGTAAGTTTGGATGTGGGTGGGAGGACATTAGTTTCGTGTAGGTTAAGTGGTGTGTAAGATTTGTCTGCATATGTTACTGTTTTGTGTAAGACTGAAGTATCTGATTTGTTATAAAAGTATTGTCGCAAATTGTGTATTTGTGTTTGGTGCAATAGTTTTATATCTGTAAGTCCTCTACCTCCTTCCGAACGAGGAAGGTAAGGTCGTATAGTGGAGGAGTGAGGGTGATGTATATGGTGTTTTGTTAATAGTGTACGTGTGTTTCTCTGTATTTGTTCTAAATCTGTATTTGTCCAACGTATAATCCCAAAAGAGTATGTAAGCACTGGTGTAGCATAAGTGTTAATAGCTTTGATTGTATTTCTACCGTGTAATTTTGTTTTAAGTATACTGCGTACTCTTTGTAGGTATTGTGTGATAAGTGTTTGTTTTATACTCGTATGTTTAAATAGGTGTATTTTGCTGAAAACCAAGATACTTATAAGTTTCATTCTCGTCCATGGAATTTATTAAATTACCCTGTTCTAGCTCATAATCTAAAAGTTGTCTTTTACCAACTGTGATGTGTTGTGTTTTACATTTATCAATTCCAAAGTCCATTTGTATGTCACGTGAGAATGTTTCGGTAATGTGTAGAAGGTGATTAAGTTTTATGCTTGTGGAAGAGTATAATTTAAGATCGTCCATGTAAAACAGGTGTGTAATGTTGTGATGTATTTCGTGGTTGTGCTTAATATTGTACCCAAAGTTAGTAGTGTTTAACAAATATGAAAGTGGATTAAGAGCAAGACAAAACCAAAGCGGACTTAAAGAATCGCCTTGAAAGATGCCTCTTTTAATTTGTATTGGGTCAGTAATAAGTTTTGTGTCGTTTAGTGCAAGTGTTAACGTAGTGTTCCAACATGACATTATGTAATTGAGGAATTGTGTAATATTGTTGCTGACTTTGTATATTGAGAGTACTTGTTGTAACCAAGAGTGTGGTACTGAATCGAATGCTTTTTTGTAATCAATGTATGCAGTGTGTATGTTTCGTTTGTTATGTCTGGATTGTTCAAGTATTACAGAATCTATAATGAGTTGCTCTTTATTATTATTATTATTATTATTATTATTAAGAGTTACAAAGATGAGTGGCACGTCTTTGAATAGGTTTTCGGATATGCCCTATACGATTTTGAAAAATGTTTTTCAAAATTCTTACCACGAAAGGATGCACCACTACTTGGGGGTGCGAAAAAAATCTGATTTCGACGAAATTTGGTATGTGGGGGTTTTTGAACAAGAAAATGACGAATCTGGAATTAGTTTTTGAAAATTCGAAAAAAAAGTTCCACTGCAATTCTTGGCCGGACAACGAAAATGGAGAGAAAGTAAATCATCGGTAGCGCAGAGACAGTAAGTCTCTGTCGGTAACGTTGCTGGGTGCATCAAATAAATCTACGTTATTCATTTCGATTTTCCACAAATGCCACTGCACATTAAACTCGTAACTCACTCTGCAATATCCGACATAAGTGTTGAGTTTGTGTAACATTTTTTTCCAATATATTACATTTTTTCGCAATATTTTTAAGTTTTTCGCAATATATTCAATTGTTTCCAATATATTCAATTTTTTTCCCAATACATTTTTTTTCCCAATACATTCAATTTTTTCCAATACATTGGAAAAAATAATTTTATTATAATTTTGTGACCCTTAGACGCTTTCGTAGCTAAAGGATCAGGAAAATTTATTTAAAAAAAATTACAAAGATCGTTTGGAAAATATTGACGCTATAGAATTTCAAAGATAGCAACCTGCCCGAGGCCGGCTTGCCCAGCGCTCGATCTAGTTGCATCGCGCGCTTTTCCGCTTGGTAATGCGTATTGCGTAAACACCTTGTTTCTCGTATACAAACAGTTACCTAGTGATTTGATTTGTGATATACGAATAAAGTCCAGCAATTGAGTTCCAAATTAGAGACAGTGAAACCATTAAGTGGCAATAAGTATTTCCAGATATTATATATATCCTCTGGAAATTATGGTTAATTTATAAAATACGAAATACAAATCTACCCAACTTAACATACTACAAACAAATTACACTTAGTCTCTGTAAACACAATCAAACAAGGAAACAAAAATTACAACCCTCGCAATAGACGAATTATTACTTCAAAGTTGGTTTTCTTCAAAAAATTGTTATTTTTTAAACAGATAAGGTTTCTCTTCTATATTTATGCGCTTAAAGAGTGGATTGTGGTCCTTGTGAACAAAGTCAAACAGGAAAACAAAAATATTCCATGCACTATAAAGATTACATTACTCAAATAGACGAATCGTTATGTAATTGCTGCAAGAGACTTGCATGCAATTTTTATAAAGACCGGTGCTATTTTTCTTGCATGAATCGTGCAATTCTAGGGATAAATCTAGTTGTTTTTGTGTCACCAACCTAGTAAAATACAGCGGCGGCAACTATATGATGCTGAGAGACGCACTCATTACTTGTTTTTATTAATCGTATTTGTTCTTGTAATTTTCATGTTTCTTCAAGCAATCAAAATTTAATATTTATTGGAGGTTAGCAACTTTGTTGACAAGTCCATATTTTTCTTCTGTTGGCAGACATGTGGCAATTGAAATAGAATTGCACCATGTCAAATACCATGCAATGCTTATTGCATGCAAGGATTTGACCTTGCAATTTCTTTCTGCAAGTTCTTGCGCGTTGTATTGCTCCATGTCAAGCGGCCTTTATTGCATGCAAGGATTTGACCTTGCAATTTCTTTCTGCAAGTTCTTGCGCGTTGTATTGCTCCATGTCAAGCGGCCTTAAGCAGAGAGAGGTTATTTAACGAAATGATAACTAATTTCAAGATAGAGTACCTATACGAATTAGTTACTTCCAGTTAGCATAAGAAATGAAAATTTAGTTGCTTGAAACAATCAAAAAGAATCACGAGCTATTTCAGCCAAGTGAAATTAGCGACGTTTTGTTTAATGCCGTCCTGAATCAATCTATCTACACCAGCGTATAAATTAATACGAATACTACACTGAGTCTCACATCAGGAATCATTATTGAAACTATTAATCGTCATAACTTACCTTATAAATATAGCTATTACGAGGATGTTTCCAACAAGTCCTATTATCATAATAATAACGTACAAAACAGCTAAAGCGTAATGATTTATTTGATTAGGTGGTAAAAATTGTAACCAGTGCACATTGATGGATTTGATATAATTTTCGTCAAAAAATCCATATTTCTTCCATGAGGAAATTGGGTATTTTTCTATAAATACTGCAAATATATTAGATGTATCATTTGGCGTTAGTGTAAAATTCATTGGAGGATACATTCAAACTTAATTGACTTGCCCCGATATCCTTCGTCCTAAAACAAAATTATTTACGTGTTAACAATACAGGGTTATTTTAAATAAAGCAATTAAAAAAATCGTATGCTAACTTTTTTATTTATGAAGATGTTTAAATGAAACTTTGTAAACACTACGAATATGAGTAGAATAACGACGTTTTCAAAATGTTGTTTTGCGCATGCGCAATGCCAACTTTCTTATTTATGAAAGCAGTTAAATGAAATATCATATGTCGGCACTTTGAATGAAACTAAAACTAATAACGGTTTCAAAATTACTGTTAACGCATGCTGTATGTTTTATTTATGAAGGTATTCAATGAAATTTCTAATGTAAAAATGCGCAATGCTATTTACGAAAGCATTTATAAAAAGTTCCATATGTAGACACTTCGAATAAAAGTAAAACTAATGCCCATTTCAAAATTTGTATGTATTTGTATACGCTCCTCTATTTTTCCGACTTCGACGATAGGCGGCTCATTTGAAAGAGAATGGGGTATGGATCTCGTGCCTACCGGTATTTTTTCCTGGTCCTAGCATTAATATTATTAGGAGGAAAATACCCTCTAGTCATTTATGTTTTTGCATACTGACTTTTTAAATTGTTTTAGTTAGTGAATACCAGAATACGTGTGATAGAAATTCCCGCAGCACTCTAAATTGCGACTCACTTTTTGCAAAGTCATTGACGCAGAAAACCTTGTGTTTCATAGTACCTGGCCCTCTCACCCACAACTGACAGCGCGTGTATACGTTAAAAAAACATTGAAACATCCTCTCGTTTTATTGGTAGGTAATTAGATTGTTCATTTTATGTAATTTTAAATTTGCACTTTACTAATAATGAGTTTTTAAAATCGAGTTCATTATTTAGAATTAAATAAGAAATAGGCATTAACAATGGTATTATAAATATCGTGTGAATCTTGTGCGAAAACAAAATCATATTTCAAAATATTTAGACCTTATTTATCAAATGTAATTAGTCATCTTCTCTAATGAGCGTTCATCACGAAGTTGATTTTAGGTAGGTTTCTTCTACCTATTGTAATGGTACCAGGTTTATAGGTTTACAGGAGGGGGGGTTAGTAAGAGCCGTTTCTATCTAAGGACATACAGTGCGCACATCTAGGATGCCCGGGAGTCTACTTGGAATTCCGGAAACCAGAGGCATGCGCACGGGGTGTCCTTCGATTCGTCTAGTATAGGTCAGAGGTCTATCGAAAGACATGTAGCTGATGTAGCACGTCTATGATGCGCGGCAGTTTACTTGGAGTTCTGAAAAGCTAAGACATGCGCACGAGATGTTGTAATTCCGGAAATCCGAGAAACGCGCACGGAGTGTCATTCGATTCGTCACATCGAGTGCCATCGATAGACATCGGATCCGCACATCTAGGAGACCCCGGATGCTTCTTGGTGAACAAGACATGTTAGACATACCTTTATGGGTGACGTTGGATTTGTCTCGTCAAGGGCTTTCAGATAACATCAATATCGCACGTCTAATAGAATGCAAACCGAAAATCGAACATATCTGATGCACGGAATGCCCATTTTTTGGTCTAATTTGACTGTACTAAATTAGTCCAGGAAATAGAGACTGAAAATCGACCATTTCCTGCAAAACGAGAAGTAGTTCCAATTTTTTTTGCTTGTCATCAAAGAATATCTGGTGGTTAAGAATCCAAGTTTTCGACCTCCCACCCCTTGTGCTTCCCCCGTCCCACCCTTAAAACCCAAGAAATTTGGTTGATTTTTTAGTTTTTCAATCATATCTTTTTATAGGTTCATTTTACAAAAAAATATTGTTATCAGAAATTGTAGACTATAAAATTCTACACAACTTTGATATACACTACTTTTTTGTGAAATGTTTATTAAAAACGATATAGAGCTTCAGAGTTGCTTATATTTTTAAAGAATTCTAAAATTTGTATGTAGATGTTTTAACCAAATTTTATACTTTATCTCTATAATTAAGAGTTTTATGAAAAAATATCTTGAACTTATCGTGGTATAAATCCCCCTACGCTGCACCCTTACCAAGGGGGATGCATAATAATTCAACTTTCAACCCTTGCTAGTGGGGACATTTGAATCACTGTGAGATTGTAGGGTTTTCTAATATACTTTTGAAACAAAAAAATTGTCTCACTTCAGTTCAGCTTCATCCTTCAAATCCTTCATACCCCGCCTGCCCCTCCCCCCACCCGCGGTAGGAATAGATATTTAAAGAGGAATCGAAAATATATGTAATAAGCGTTGTACTCTCTGACTAACTTCACAATCGCCACAAGAGCGTTTAAATATCTATTCCTACCGCGCGGGGGGTGGGGAGAGGGGGTTGAAACTGAACTGAAGTGAGACAATTTTTTAATTTCAAAAGTATATTAGAAAGCGCTACAATCTCACAGTAATTCAAATATCCTCACTAGCAAGGATTGCAAGTTTCATTATTTTGCATCCCCTTTGGTCTTTACCAAAGGGGATGCAAAATAATGAAACTGTGAGATTGTTTTTATGAGTTTTATATCCCCTGCACCATACCACAATAAATTCAAGATATTTTCTCATAAAACTCTTAATTATAGAGATAAAGTATAAAATTTGGTTAAAACATCTACATAGAAATTTCAGAATTCTTCAAAATATAACCAACTCTCAAGCTCTATATCTTTTTTAATGAACAATTCACAAAAAAGTAGGGTGTATCAAAGTTGTGTAGAATTTTATGGTCCTCAATTTCTGATAACAATATTTTTTTCTAAAGTGAACCATTAAAAAGATATGATTGAAAAACTAAGAAACCAACCAAATTTCAGGGGTTTTGGGGGTGGTACGGGGGAAGCACAAGGGGTGGGAGGTCGAAAACTTACATTCTTAACCACCAGATGACTATCTATGACATGCAAAAGAAATTGGAACTACTTCTCATTTTGCAAGTTAAAACCCTCTATTCCCTGGACTAAATGGCATTATTATGGGTTTTTATTTTGTATAAACTGGCTACTTCGATCGTCGTAATCACCGGGTTTATGGCCCATTCGCTTTCTGTAGACTCGGTTGTTGGAGGCAGCATGTGATTTATGTCTCCTGAAGTAGCTTTGTTGCCTTTCTTTCATCGATGGGTCGTGATGCCCGTCTGGTGAGTTGGGTTTGCTCGTCTTTGACGCGGTCCAGTCACATAGGTGCACGGCCGTCCGGTTTTAACTTGAACCGTTTTTCCTCTAAATACTTCCGATATAGTTTGATAGCCCACGCTGATTCCTGACCGAGTACGACAGCGATCCCGTTGTCGCTTGCGTCGGCTCGCAGGACGAATGGGCGAATCCACTGTTTCCAGTGCTTCATATGTCTTTTTCTCGTTCTCCAGTGAATGCAACCTTTTTCGTACTCTACCGCTCGGTGTTCTCGGAGTCATTCCTGTCCCAAGATGATGGATACAGGTTTGAAGTGACCAAGAAGTTGCCCGATTCTTGCTGGTTGGTCGTTGAGGTATACGCGATTCTTGCTACCACCGGGTGATGCTCCTGGCCGCTGCCTAGTTTCCCTGATCTCGACGACTGACCAGAACCGAGTCCCGGGGGAAATGATACTCCGGGAAGTCGTTGCACTTTGGCGTGCCGGATAGTCAATTGAACATTTTTCTTTTTAAGCAAGAATGACCACGGTAACCATCCGTTACACATGTGAAATTGAACGCGATTGGAAATGTTGGTATCTATGATTAACAACCCCATATCTCCGTTATTCTACCAAATCGGCACAAAATGAGCACAATTTACCATGTAAAACTGAATACGATTTTAATTTTAATCCTAGATATATTAAAAACTTCAGATCACGCCCAAAGCGTGGAAGTTGGGGGTACAAATCAGCAAAAATTATCTTTTTTTTTATGAAGAAATGTTTGTTCTAATGCAATCCCCAAGACACTAAATCTCCGCGTAAATGTTTTTTACTTGTCTATACGTAAATTAAAGTGAAAACAACTTTGATTGCCCAATGACTTTTCATTGGTATCTATTATAATTTTTTCATCATTTCCGTGAATTCGGGCAAAAAATTTGTTTTGCAGTTCAGTAATTGAAGCGCCTAATAAGACTTTATCAGTATAGACAGCAAGCTAGTTAACCGCCGTGTCGACCTATTTGCTCGTGTATAAACAGTACCGAGTAAGGTTTTAGTATTTTCCCTATTGCTATTGTTGTCAGTTAAGTTCAAGTTTTCTATGAAAAACTTGAAGTTTTACATCTTTTATATATATTTTTAGCATAAAAATTCAATAAGTATTTACGTGCGCTTTACAGAATCTTTGAATGTAGTTTTGATCTATTTAGGAAGTGAAATAAAATTGTGCAATTTAAATACGTAGGTACATACGTGCTTAGGTATATTTTTTACCGTTAAAAGTTGGAAGCTTAATCGCATCTAAAGATCTAGTTTCCGCGCTACGCTACTTTTCCGAAGCTTGCTGTTTTAGCATTTCAAACATACGACTCTTCTAGGTACTAAGTACCAATTTTGGTCATTTGTAAATACACTATTAAACACTCTTGTTATCTCGTAAAAGCCATTTAAGTTCAGACTTACAATTAATATTTGCTCTGCGTTTTATATTCCAACATTACATGAGTAGCAGTGACAAAGTTATCGAAAACTTACCTCTGATACGAGAGCAATCGATGGAATGTAAATTAAACTGATTTCATGTGACATATCTTGCACGAGCGAATACTCTACTGATGATACTGTGACAAATGCGATGGAGTCCCTTAAACCTTTATGCTATGCGCAGAATTTTCAAGAACCGTTTTTCTCTAAATAATTGGATTAGAATGGTAGTAGTCCACCGGGACTGATGAAACATAATCACTGTATCTATAGACATTAATCAAATAAAAAGGGGCTTATATAACGAAATGATTTTACAATAAAGTTTACTGGAAGGGAAAGGTAAACATCGCCATTGACTAATTTCTAGATTCTGCGATTCTATCTGTTTGAATTTCGCGATCTATTGAAAAGCCTGATCCTACTACCAATGAGAAAGTAGGTAACAATTGTTTGGAAATAAAACCGTCCGTGTTTTGATCATCCGAGCAAGAAACTTGGAAAATGCAAACAGGAGTATTTCTCCAACAACTCCAAGAGATTGACCCAAAATTACCCGTTTGTGTCATAATTGTGCACCCGTAAAATATTTTTATTTTCGCTAGGTATGTAAAGTAAACAACGAGGGTCACACCTGCTTTGTCAATCGAAAACGCTATTATAGCGTTTTCGATTGGCAAAATTCGTGCTGCACGAGTGCAATTTTTACGTTCTATTGGCAATTTTATGTGTTCCATTGGCAAATGTGATGCAACAATTACGCACTCAGTGGAAATTTTTACGCGCGAGGTCGGAGAGCTCGTGGAGCAAATTTTCAAAATTTCACGACAATTTGAATTTGTTTCTTGCGTTGGAGAGTTTTTTGTTGTCATCTAGCGATAGCGAAGATGATGAACTACTTCTACTTTACAAAAAGTTGCATTTACTATTTAAACTGAACGCCAAAAATTGGTTCTTTACAGGAATTTCAAATTTATATTCCTCATTGTTTATCATAAATAATAGTGAAATCGTTTCAGTCATTTTTTAGAATACAGATGTGTCGATTACCTAAATCATTGTATAAATACAAATCTAAAATGAGGTTATGGACAAATGATAACAAATATTTATGTTCCATTGAGAGCAATTTTCACATGCATTACTTCAGTTTCTCGTGCAACACTCGTGCAGTACGAGTTTTGCCAATCGAAAACGCTATTAGTTTGGCGTTCCCGCTACTACAGAATAGATGCTTTCTTTCGGTGATCAAAACGCGTTTGGATTCTCAAATCACGTTCTTTCGAAGTGTGATCTTATGATCATGATTGCTAAAATCGTGAACAAACTGAACATAAAAGTTTTATGATAACAAATTCCTAACCTATAAATGCATGGATATTTTTGCTCAAAAGTCAATATTTGTAACTGAAGAGGAGCATAATCGTGCAAGTACTTCCACTTGTATTAAATTGTTTTCATAATCCAAACACAAAATACGTAATTCGAATGCAAATGTGTACTACGTAAATTTAACCATACTTTGATTTAAATTCGCGCGTTCTTTCGTAAAGCGTGATCCTACCAATCACGATCTTGAAATCATGATTGCCAAGTAGCCGAAAGAAAGCGCCTAATAGCAAATCACGCACACACCACAGCCACATCCTTGTCGCATACTTAGCCACAAGTAAAAAAATAAAATCAAAAATAAATAACCTTCCAAGTAACCTCTAGCACATTAATTTTTAGCTTATAGATAGGTACATCATGTCTTTTATATACAAAAAAGCCATCAGTTTTGCCGATAAATTAATCCCTACTAAATTTCAACCTGTATGGAATCACCCAGCAGGTTAGTAACTTTCAATTTATTTGTATTACATTGAGATACCAACAGGTCCCAAGACAGTGTTTTTCTGGGCTCCTACATTTAAGTGGGTAAGAAACTTAGTATTGATATTGTATAATTGCTTTAATGAAGGCTTATAGGGTTTAGTTATTGCTGGAATTAGTGATTTACAACGACCAGCTGAAAAGATTAGCTTAGCACAAACTTCTGCATTAGCGGCGACTGGTGTGATATGGTGCCGTTACTCCTTAGTGATTATACCAAAGAACTATAATCTTTTTAGTGTAAATTTTTTTGTTGCATTAACCCAACTTTACCAGCTCTCCAGGGCTATACAGTAAGATCATTATCTTGTGAACATATTTTGCATTTAAATTCTTTGTATTGTAGGTACCAACGATCTGCAGCTGCCAACAATTAGATCAATTTTATCTATACCTACATAGTTATAAATATACCTAATATACAAAAATGTAGAAAAATCCATTATTTTTTATATATCCGATATTAATTTTGTTATTCTTGTTACGCAAGGTTTAATAAATTATTTATCTTTTCTCTTGGGAGGTTTTTGCAGACATGGTTTAGGTAGGTAACTCAATTTATTTTAGAATGTTATGTAACAGTTCACTAACTTAACCATCTTTATAAGGTATATTATCTAATTTTAATGTATCCGGTCTAATATTGGCTTCTGAAATGTAACACATTACAAGAAATTAACAGTGACATGGTTACTTACGGAAGACGCCTGGCTTGATTTCTCTTGCTTGTACGACAGTAGTTCTTAGCTCTTTCTCAACCTCCTCAGAAAATCGAATTAACTAAAATACAATTTAAATTATATTTAGAATACGTTAATAGGCGGTACTTCATTGATTGTAGCTAATTCTTGTACATCTTTGTTTTTCTTAAATTCCTCATTTATTTTTTCTCGTCCCTTTTGTAAAGCTCTTACATCTCCATTAAACACTATTTCCCTAGTACGATGAAGGTTTTTAAAGCATTTTAGCACCTATTATAATTCTTAAGTGTACTTTAACATTAGGATTTAACAACATTAGTACCTCCCTTCGTAAACTCATAGCTGTTATGCAATACCAAACTGTAGTGGTTTAGGTTATTTTAAACTATAAATAATGGGCCATTCATACATGTAATCAAATTGTAGTAGAAGTTAAAACATTTTAAACTTAGAAAATCGTGATAGAATTATACAATATTTAAAGGTTATGACCCATTGATGGCACGCATGTTATACAGGGGATAGACACATATTTTAGACATATGAGAATGATATACAGCATAGTAAAACTATGCATATACAGATGTCTTCAAACATACTGTGCCTGCTTATGGCTTATCATAGATCCAACGCGGGAGGGATATCGTTTAAGTTTTTTTTTTATAATTTAAGTGTTTGTGACGTAGTGTACCTGTGTACGTATCCGCCAGGTTTTGCACTTACAATTGACACTAATAGCGTTTTCGATTGGCAAAACTCGTACTGAACGAGTGTTGCACGAGAAACTGAAGAAATCCATGTGAAAATTGCTCTCAATGGAACATAAATATTCGTTAATATTTGTTGTCATTTGTCCATAACCTCATTTTAGATTTAGGTAATCGACAAATCTCTATTCTAAAAAATGATAAACGATTTCAGTATTATTTATGATAAACGATGAGGAATATAAATTTGAAATTCCTGTAAAGGACCAATTTTTGGCGTTCAGTTTAATGAGTAAGTGCAACTTTTTGTAAAATAGAAGTTATGGCTAGTTCATCATCTTCGCTATCGCTAGATGACGACAAAAAACTCTCCCAACGCAAGAAACAAATTCAAATTGTCGCACGTTTGTTTTGAAAATTTGTTAACTACTAGCAGCTCCACGAGCTCTCGGACCTCGTGCGTCGAAATTTGCACTGAGTGCGTAATTGTTGCATCACATTTGCCAATGGAACACAGAAAATTGCCCTAAAATTACCAATAGAACGTAAAAATTGCACTCGTGCAGCACGAGTTTTGCCAATCGAAAACGCTATAAAGTAACACAGAAATAAAATGAACCAAAGTCTAGCCAGATCCCTACGCTCGTAATGTTTATCGCGTTAAGTGCGACCTCTGGTGACAGCACATTGTAATTAATATTGGTGGGATAAAATCGCCATTCTATTTATTTGCAATGACAAGTAATCAATACTTTTTACGACTGTAAGAGTAAATACACCCATAAAAATTTTATTTGCAATCAAATGTATGTAATTTCACCTTAAAGAGCAAGGATGGTTTAAAAACGTCACATTTATCACGTTACCTTCAAGAATTTTAAATGTGATCAGTGCAATTATGCAACCAATATTAAGAATAATTTAAAAAAATTACTATGAGGCGCCATTTGTACCATAATAATTTCTCACGAATATATAAAATAAAATAAATATATCTAGAACTTTTATATATTTGCATTCAAAGTTTTAAATATATCCAGAAATTAAGTTTTATATATCTGCAGGATAGCGTCGATGAAATATATAAAACTTCAGCTTCGTATACCTATCACTAGTGGCGCTGAGTAGCCTCAAACCAAAGATAATACTACACTAGATAGACACCGTAAATGGGCAAGTTGTAAACCGCTTGTTTAGTTCCGTAAAGAAGATATAGGGGGCTTTTCCCATGAAGCCGTATCGTACGTATTACCTATTCGACACACGAAATGCGTAATATTATCTCTTCCGTGATGTACTCAACATAACATTCCTTTACTTATTCACATGGATTAAATTACATTTAACGGTAAGGGTATACATCTGTGTAGGCGTCTCTGAGAATTTCCGCTACGTTGCGAATATTACGTACTTATATCGGATATGGAATGTTAATTAATAGATCCTAATTACATTGAATTTAACAACAAATTCAATTCATGTTTTTCCTTGTAAAAGTTGTAAGTAAGCAAATAGCTCTTCTTGTACATATGTACTTTACACAGGGTGTAGCATCCCCCTCATAGATAAAAGCTATCGTGAAAAAATGTAGGACGAGCAAAACTTCCGTTTTTGAAATGGACCCCTCCGCCCCCTTTTTTTATTGCGGGATTGAAATAAGTACTTGTAGGGTATTTATTATTTATGTAACATAGCATACTCTTAACTTTAACCAATTCGCTGTTATACCATTTTTCCTCAAAATTTGACCATTTGACATTTTCCAGAGATAACGCCGGCGATTAAATTTTGAATTGAGGCCTCTTCTCTTTCACATACCGGGTGATTGGTGAATATTACAAAATCAAACATACGCAATTAACATGAGAAAAATGTTTTTTCAGGTTATCCCCCCCCCCCCCATGTTAAGAGCGTTTAATTGCACCAATCGAAAAAAAGATTGTTTTGACGTCACTAACGGACCTGGCTGTCAGAATTGACAGTTATAATTTGCTAAGTTGTGATCGTTTTTGCATTAGCGTTAAAACTATGTCTATAAGTGTTCCCTATTTTGCAACAAAAATGCTTGGACGCCGACGTAGTATTGGAATGTAATAACAATTTGGGGTAGTATTCATATTTTACACTCAACTGGCGCTCATTTTAGCCAGTGTCAAGAAGAACGTCGAGAAATCGTTATTTTAAGATGCACAAAGTTTAAATAAACTGATTTAGCTGCAATTTCCATGGATGATGAAGAGCAAAAAAACCAAAAACCCAGGATGAAATGGGTTCACGACATTTTGAGTGCGAATAAGCGAAGGCGAATTTGCAGACTTGTAGACGATGAATGACAAGTTTTTGTAATTTAAGTACCTTCCTATAACATCCATTTGGACGTATTAGAGCCCCTTCTTACAAGGCGTTTTTTTGAAGCGGCTGGTAGCGTGACCCCTTCACACGGTGCGATTTGCAGCGCCACAAGTAGCACGAAGCGATTTTCAGAAGCGCCCTCACGCTACAAAGGCGCACGTACCAAGAAGGGGCGTCGTTTTTTTAAAAAATGGTGTCTAGTTTGAGGAGAGTTGATTTACTTGTGTTATGTGTATCATTTACCTTAGTAAAGAGCACGGTCTCTTGTTAGGCTATGGTAAAGAGCGTACATATTTGTGTACTGATACTGTTCATATTGTGTGGTAAAAACCATTGTAGCACGGTGTGGTAAACTCCAAAATTATAACAGAAATTGTACAGAAGAGACTTGTAATAAATTTCAGTTCTTACTCATCTGAGAAATAAAGCTAATTTCTCATCGGGAGGAATGAATTTCCGCATAACCGTATCTTTTTTTCAAAGAAAATTTCCACTCTACAGCATCGTGAGAAGGAGCTCTTAGAATCTTAAATAATATAAAATACAAATGAAAGTGGCGAAAAATCAAAGCATGTGGTGCGTCTGGGTCCGCCAGTGACGTCACTACACGCGGCAAAAAAATTCAGTGATCGAGCAATCCTGTATTATATATAGCAACCTTGCGTACGCACCACCTATTTGCTTAGGGCTTTAAACACTGTTGTGGTTATTTACGTACTGTGAATGTCAATTCAAATGTGTGCAAAATGAACAACTTGCAAAATGAGCTGCTCCGAACGAACTGCACCAAAGCTTCACGCACTCAAATGGAAATAGCAGAAAATAGCATATACAGTGAATTTTTAAAATGCGAACATAGGAGTTTGCATGCAATGTAATTTCCCTATGTTCGATTTTTAAAAAAACACATCAATCTATTGAGTAGTTCATTGTGAGTAGTAGATACAATTGACAGCTGTCACATTTTTTAAAATACCGCCGTCCAATTTAATTACGAAATCGGTTAGGTTATTGCTTAGAATGTCAAGGAGGACACTTCGAACATTTATTGTAATGGTTTTCGTTATTTATTTTCTTATTTTCTTCATTTATGTATTGAATAGATCAAATTAGTAGAATACCAGGTACACATGACCTACAAATAATTGAAGGTTGGTTCACAATGAGTTGTGGTGTCAGCGCCTACCCTGTAAGGTTAAGGTATTGTAAGTTTAAGAAAATTTATCCTAAAGTTGCTATGGCCTCACATGGCTTCTTTAAAAAAATCTTACCGAACGCTCTTCATCATCAAGACTATATAGAGTTGCTGTTCACAGTCACACAAGTTACGCGTTTTGCTGGTGGGAATGTGAACCGCACACACCTCATAGATTGATGTGTTTTTTTAAAATCGAACATAGTGAAATTACATTGCATGCAAACTCCTATGTTCGCATTTAAAAAAATCTCACTGTATATAAGAGAAGATATGGAAATTAGTGATAGTAGTTCATCTGCTACGGTAGGTCGTCAATGGTAGGCCCATGGTTTGTGGGAAGACCCAATGATAAAGGGAAAGCCGCTCCTTTATAGCGGTTATGTTATGTTTTGTTAATTTGTTAGTTGATTTGATGGTCTGTGAGTTGATTAGTTCAGCGTCGAGAAAAAACAACTGGTACTGAACTGTAAAATACCAGTAACTATTAGTGAACTACCATAATTTGAAAATGTCACAATCAAATATTGAACATGTAAATTTGGCTGATGATATCTCAACGTCCATGGAGGAAATTGCAATCACAACAGCAAATCCAAATCCAACAAGCAATGAACCATCAGCTCTCGATGATGACCGCCTGCCAAGTTACAATGTACCCGAGAAGATTATAATTGTCTTAGATCGTGGATACGATGAAAATTGCACCAACTTTGAACTAACATCAAAGAAAACCTACTCCCCTTTGTTCATGTTGCAACACGCATTGAAAATATTTTTGCATAACAAATCTCAAATAAATCCGGAACATCAATTTGCAATTATTCAATTGGATGAATACTCGGCAACGTGGGTGCACGATTTTACAAATTCGATACAAGATATATTGGCATCTGTACGAAGTATCACTGATATCCCATGCGAAACAGAAGATATATTTGATTTAAATAAAGTGTTTGACATACTAATCGATAAACTTGACCTTAGTTTTTCATTGAAGAATCCACCAAGTTGTGTTGTGCACATAGTTCTATTATACGGTCGGTCTTATTCTGTACCAAAACTAACGAAAACGGCTGAGGTAGAAAGACTTCTTAATTCGTCATACTGCACTGTTGACGTTGTAATGACTCATGAACCCCCCGATTCTAGTAACAACTGCGAACAAATTTTCAAATGTCTTCAGTCGATTGATATGAAAGGTTCCTCGTACGCGTTTTCAGTATCTCGCAATGCATCAGACCTTCATTGTGCTATGGCGAAGATTTTATCACATCCACTACAACGACCTCATAATGCAAATGCGAGTGCAAATACTAATTATAATTTAAATGTAATAGAAACAAACTAAATAACTTTGTGACAATTCTTTGTTATATTAATCATACTAATAATAAATTACCACCTATTCTATACTCTTATCAGATAAATTCTTGCAACGTTTGGTTTTTTTATGTGCTTCTAACTTATCTTTTCTTCCAAAAGTTTTCATACACGTTTTACATGAAAATGGCCTTGTGCCATCGTGCACTTGTAAATGTCTGTTTAAATTTGAGCTGTGAGCAAATTTTCTCTTACATACCATGCATACATATGGCTGCTCTTTCGTGTGTTTTCTTAAATGTTTATTTAAATCACCTCTATGTACAAAATTTTTACCGCAGCTGCTACAAGACATTGACGATGAAGGTTGAACAGGGTTCGACTTCTCCGAACTAGTTGATGGTTTCGTAGTTTGGTCGATGTTCTCTTGTTCTTCAATTACTTTCATTAGGATAGGTAAGTTGCCTAAATTAGTGATGCATGTGCTACAGTCGCAAGTGTAAGGATGAGCGGCAGTGCAAACTTTTTCTGACTTTTCACTATCTTGATTATATTTTGTAGTCATTTTCATTTAAAAATTTACTTATTTTTACGGAAAGGTGTAACTAGCGAATAAAACTTATTCATACTTTTACCGACTTTTAAATTTATGACATGCGCAACAAAATTCGCGCAATCTCACGGGAAAATCCTCTGAACTGAATTACCTACCTTTATAAAACTTCTGGCTTGCCCCACATTTGTGACGTATGCGATTTTTGTGGATTTTACGATTGGCAACGTAAATGTATTAAACAATAATTGATTTTCCAAAATACTTACCGTTTTTCTAGCGGACATTTATTTGAAAAAGCGGGAAAATGGATCCTTAAAAACCTAAGTACCTAATTAGTACCATTGTGAATAAACAAAGTTAGTACTTACCTTGTCTATCTGTGGTGGCAAGATTACCTATACCTACTGTTAATGTAACACGGATTTTCCGTTATCAATTCAAAGTAGTAAAAGTATGTTAGTATGGTCTCAATAGATACATTCTCTGGTAAAAAAGTGTATCAAATTAATTTCAACATTTTGGTATACAGGGTGCGCGATTCGTGAGACTCAATAATATCCTGTTAAATATGTAATGTAGCACCCTGAATGGTAATCTGTGAATTTAAATATTTAAATCTGTGGTAGTACATGTTCAATTCCAATAACAATAGTTATACATTCAATGCTAATAGCGATCTGGCCCTTGAAAGCGAAGTTTAAGATAAGTATAGCCTAAAATTCATGTAACAATTTTTGTAACAATGGTCGTATAGGTATGTGAAACCAAGCAATAAGAGAAGAGGCACGTTCAAGGCAAGCACTACCTTTGGTTTAATTTTAAAGTAACTAAAAATGAAAAAAAAAGTCAACTGAAATACTCTTGCGAACGCACTGGTTTGATTTATAATTTCTAGGGTAGCTCATTGTTGACGTTTTATAAAACATAGAATTTCTTTTGCAACTTTCCAATGTTACTGCTATTCAGTTTGTAATATATGGATTCCAAAAACAAGATGCGTATATTCTAAATTAGATTTCATTCTACCTACAATGCAGGTAGCTATATACCGGCCCTACCGAAAATACGGCTATACTAGAATAAAATATGTCGACGGCATTGAAATAAAAGACTAGGAAGGAGCTTATACAAGGTGCCAATTTGAAAACTTACCACCCCCATGTCTTAGTAAATAAACGAGATATTTTAAAAAATCAAAATCCGTTTCGGTAATTCGGAGGGGGAAGCACAATGACATAGTTGGCGACGCACCCCCTCCAACCCCTGCGCCCAAGCCACCACAACTTTTAAATCTTAAATAGTGATGCGTGATACGTCGTTGGAAAGCTCTGAAAAAATGCTTTCCAACCATACCATAGTTATTTACATTATTAGTGCGGGAACAGTTATTTTGCAGATGAGCGCGAAGTTTGGCGGCGCGAGTGCGCAACGCGCACGAGCGACGCATCTCGCGCGAATCAAGCAAATACTGTTCACGCACGTAACATGTATTCTATTTTTTGCACGGATTAGTTAAATCGAATTTACATAAATTCAAATCCTTTTCGCGAGATTTTTGCGACATTATAATCCTTTTGAAAAATCAAGTCCTCTATGCCGATAAAGTAGAAATCTAAAAATTTAAAATGTCAATTTATTGTTCAAAACTTCTGGTTTAAGCTTATTTTTGCCCGTGTACTACAGGGAATGATGTAAAGTGTATGTATTTATATTTTCATTTTTACTCTTCCATCATACTACTTATTAGTTTATGATCCGCACTAAATAGATAATTTCGTTGAATTTTTAGGCACTAGTGCGCGAAAGTAGATAGTCAATTGTAAAATTGACGTTCCTGACGTTCGTGTTTTATTGGGAAAACGCGATTTAGAACGAAGGAGTGCAAAAAATAGCATTACATTTAGGTTAGTAATTATCGTGCAAATCAAAAAATAAACTATGCCATTGTGATTCCCCCTCCGAATTACCGAAACGGATTTTGATTTTTTTAAATATCTCGTTTATTTACAAAGACACGGGGGGTGGTAAGTTTTCAAATTGCCACCCTGTATAGGTGCTTTCTTTCGATGATCCAAACGCGTTTGGATTGTCAAATCAGGTTCTTTCGAAGTGTGATCATGATTGCTAAAATCGTAAACAAAGCAAACTGAACATAAAAGTTTTATGATCACAAATTCCTAACCTATAAATGCAAGGATATTTTTGCTCAAATGTTAGTTTAGTCAATATTTGTAACTGAAGAGGAGCATAATCGTGCAAGTACTTCCACCTGTATTTAAATTATTTTCATAATCCAAACAAAAAATACTTAATTCGAATGCAAATGTGTACTCCCTAAACTTATAACCATGCTTTGATTTAAATTCGCGCTTTCTTTCGTAAAACGTGATCCTACGAATCACGATCTTGAAATCATGATCGCGAAGTAGCCGAAAGAAAGCGCCTCTAGTAACGGGCGATCAAAAATGAGCTGCTGTCGAGTCGCCTTTGGAAGTTCAAGTTAAGTACGATTTCCCATGTAAACGAAAATTCCAAAGGTGACTCGACAGCAACTCATTTTTGATCGCATGGTATATAATCAAAGCAGCTAACCATTCTGTTTTACTTTATACCGTAAATGTCAATCAATTATGTCAAAGTCGGTCATATTGAGAAGCCTAATTGGATCCCAATAACAAGCGTATGTTTTAAGTAGGTATTATATGATTGAATTTATAATAAATTCAATGATTATATGTAACGTTTCTGGATTTGCATCTCCAAATATTTAGAAAAAATTGACATATGTAAAAAATTATGACAAACAGGTATAAAAAGCTTAAATGCGTTGAATTCGCAATAAAATTGAGCATTTAAAAAACCAAGATGTCGACAATTTCCAGTAGTTACTGTGTCGACTTAAATCGTTAATTTTTTTGTTATTTGCGATAGGACCGTGTCAATGGTGAACGAAAAGTCAACTTTACACCCATTTACGTAAGGGGCTTCATCAAAACGGAAAAGAAACAAAACTCTCCCTTTGCCATTTTTGGCTTTCCATGGACATCTCGAATTCTCTCTCTAGGGACTGCGCGTTCTCTGTGTTAAAGAAAGCTTGTGACAGGAAGATGTGGCCACGCCAAGGTTTGGAATGCCCCCCATTCGTTCGACTGTTGTGTCGTGTATCGTTTGATTTTTGAGTGATTGCGGATCTGCAGTATCTTGTCAATTCACTTCGACAGTCGTCGTCCGTAGTGTGTGATTTTTATGTTAAACGTTAAATGTGATCACTAATTTAGATTGGACACAATTTCGATCATATCATTTGAATTCGAGGTCAATGATGATCTGTATCAGAATTATTATTGTTTAATTTTGTAACAATCGCCTTGTTATTTTGATTTGTAATTGTAAAGTTGAATTACGTTTGAAAAATATTAGGAGCACCTGGAAAAGAAGTTCGTTATCGCTTCATAAAATCAGAAGAATGTTTTAAAAAGGCGAAGCATATGGAAAACGGGACTTTTTGATGTTTGACAGTCAGTCGTAATGAATGGTTTTTTTTGTAAAAGACAGTCAATGTGGGTGGTTGTAAAGTTGTTATAGATTATTTTGATAGTGCTTTAATAGATTTTTATTACCTACGTCGTTATAAAAGTGAATGTTATAATTCGCGTTAATCTGAAGCGTTCCGAAGCAATATCATTTGGTGCTTTGCGCCAGTCAAATTTATTGAACTCAAATGGATTTACCGCGTGATGAAGAATTATTCAAGAATAACGGATAAAGAACTTTATTTGAAGTACCTAACGTGACAAGCAAAATTAGAACATTATTTTGCTCAAAACAACTACTACACACACTCTCTATGTATATAATTAAAATTGTGTGATCGCCATATCCAACAAAAATGTCACAGTTATGATCGGATGTAAAGGATTATGAAGTTTAAGGTAATTAAAACTTTATCCAATTAATTTGTTTCAATTGTTCTCATATGCGTGGTTCGTGGTACATTTGTCTGTAGACCCTGAGTGCCTTTCTTTCTTACAGCTTTGTTAATTGATTTTTATCGAATAAATGTTTGTCTTGTGCAAATGATTAGCGTTGTGTTTAATCGAGCCCAAATTACTGCCTAGAATATAAGAGTTCTGATGATAAATTTATATTCGCGCACAGAATTTTGTGAGGCGAATACACTACAAATCAACCAAGTGCAACTGGCTATGTGACTAATATGTATATATATCGCAATCATGGTGTATGGTAATATTGGAAGAGGTAGCAAAGAATTATCAGGATTTGGTAGACATATTGAAAGTTGAAACTGTTGCACACATTAAAATTGAATAAATCGTTGCGTACAATACAAAATTGTATGCAATGTTAATTTGAAATATCCTGTATAATTATTTTAAAAGTTGGCGTGAAATAGGTACAGATGGAAGGACGTTAGAAAAAGAAAGGTTATGTTACTTTGTTTTTGAGAAAAATCGTTAGTAACCTTTTACTAATAGAAAATTCCATAAAATATGAAAATATGTCAACGTTTCGCTCTGATTTACAGATTAGCATCACATAATAAGTTAATAAACAGAACAATAATGTCTTCCTCTCCAATGCGTGCTAGTATTGAAAAGGTCACAGAAGAGTTAAAAACCAATCCTTACTATGAGAAATATGCCAAGAAAATTGCAGGTTTGCAAGAAACATCACCTGAAGAGTTTTTACAACGAATAGAAGAGAGGGAAAAGGAGAAAATCTCCAAAATAGAATCTAAATCGAGTAGCAGGTTTGCTATTTACCTACATATACTTTTAATAATATTTACATTATAATGTTTAGTCATTATTCGTCGCTGTTAGAACCCAAAAAGCAATTAACTGAGAAAATGAAATCTGAAGATGAATCGCTTGACAAAATTATGAAAATCGACCTAATTGAGAATAAGGATGCAAATGAAATTGCAGAAATATGGAATCATTATCACAAAACCAAAGATGCTATTTCTGCTATAATTCCCAAAGAAGCGTATGAGGAAATGAAGATAAATGCCAAGAAGTATCCCACTTTCCTGTTTCCAATTCCGCGATCGCAAGGCTATGAATTTATAATGTGCCAGTTTTTCTATAATACTGTTCATTTCACACCCTTATTAAATTATCAGGTTGGTATATTCTCATCTTTACTATTTTTCCATGCTGTTCATGTATGTGCATCTTTTATTTATTTATTTTATTTATTTATTTATTTGCCTTTATTTTTAGGTTCACAAAGAGAATGCTCCCGAGTGTTTGAAAATAACTCATTATCCAGAGTTTAAAGATACAAAAGGAATTGTATTAATGAAGGGAGAATTTCAAAATAATGTGATAAATTCACAAGAAGCACAGTGTTTGGCAAATCAATTGCAAATGTATTATAGTCAAAAAGATGCAAACAAATTGAAACTTTTGGAACAATTCACGAGCAAACCTGACCAATTTAAACACATGGATCTTATAAAGCAAATAGAAACTCTTAATATTATGAAATAGTCAGTTTATCTAGACTTTGTAAATATATAAAAAATTGGCATTTGTTTCCTTATCTCTTAAATTCTATAAGAAACACATTGTTGACTTCAAGGTTAATGAAGTATCAAGTGTTTAGTATCACTGGTTATGTAATTTTTTCCCTATCAAATGAAAAAAATTCCAGTATGACGTCCATAAGAAAGTTAATGTGATTTACTCCAAACTCACAAATCATAAAAAAATGTCCTTTAGCACGGTGAGAAAGCGAGAAACATAACTTGGGGATTGGTTTTTAAAATTATTGTTTGAAATCTTTGAACATAAATGAACCCTATAGTCCAGTCAAATAAGAAAAAATAAAAACATTAATTGGTAAAGATCTGAATTTTGGTAAACATGTTCATTAGTGTTCCCCATTGGACATACTAAAAGTCCCCGTCAAAATCTGTTGCGCTCGAGGCACCATCTTGGAAAAAAGGAGCACTTGTTCAGTTTCTTGCCTATATATCGGCAACAATTATTGACACGGAAAAATAGCTCAGATAAAAAATATAGTTTATTAAATTGCCCATAAAAAAGCACATTAACATTTTTTTGTATGTCCAAAACTTTAGCTATAATCCGACATCGAATAGGGAATCAAGTATCCTGAGCTCTCGAAACAGGCGCGCAGATATTTTTTTACAACTTTTTACAAATCATTAAATTTATTGAAAATTGTGCCAGTATTTCTTATATATGAGAAGTCGTCGCACTCAAGCTTGGTATGAGACACGTTTAAAGGTTTCTCATAAAACTCTCTCTCTCTCTCTCTCTCTCTCTCAATAGAACTTTCATCTTCAATGTGAGCAGTTAAGCACTGAGTGTGGACTGGAAGCCTTCAGTGACCGAACAGGGTCAAGGAAATCGTGGACTCTCCTTCAACTCCACAGTTCGGGAGATTTTTCATATCCACAAACCTTCTGAACTTGCTGATTAATACGAAACGTGTGTTGCTGCGCCGCTGCAGCCGTAGGGGGTAACAGTGCGGTTAGATTCGGCTGACCCTTGTATGCGTATTTTCTGCAGGTCTGATAACGATGTCGGTTTAAATATCTCTCACTAGCAGGCACGTTGTATGCAGAGAACGGCGTTCTCCAGCTTCAGAAATCATTTCGTGGCCCCAACAATTTTAATCATTTTCGCTTACCTTTTTGAAAAAAAACATGATGTCGTATCATGAAACATTATGTCATTGCTAGAATGCTTTATCGCAAGACGATTCTGTTCATTTTTTGGTGCTTTTACAGCTTTCGGTGTAGCCATAAAAAAGACGGCCTCCTTCCTATAACTACGATGCGGGGCCTAAACGCTTTCTGACGCATTCAACGTGAGATTACAGCTAAAGTATGGGAGATACAAAAAAAATGTAAATACTCTTTTTTATAGGGAATTTAGTAAACTATATTTTTCATGTAAACTATTTCTTCGTATCAGTAATAGTTGCCGAGACATGGGCAAAAAAGTGGAAAAGTGTACCGTTTTTCCAAGATGGCGTCTCGAGCGCAGCAGATTTTGACAGGGACTTTTAGTATGTTCAATAGAAAGTCCCAATAAATGTGTATACCAAAATTCAGATCTTTACCGATTAATGTTTTTATTTGTCCAAAATTGCGCTAATTTGACTGGACTA